CTCTCTCTCTCTCTCTCTCTCTCTCTCTCTCTCTCTCCTCTGTGTGTGTGTATGTGTGTTTGTGTGTGTTCATATATACATATGTATATGCACTAGTGTGGACGTGTATTGGAGGCAAAAGGTGAACATCTGGTGTTATTCTCCTCAGGCAAACACCATCTACCTTATTTTTTGACAGGGTTCTCCCTGTGGGATCTGGAGTTCCCCAATTAGGCTATACTGACTGACCTGAAAGCCCCACTGCTTTCCCAGTATTGGGGATCAGAAATGTGTGCCACTATGCTCGGCTTTTTTTTTTTTTTCTTTCCTTTTCTTTTTAAGAATATTTAATTCGAGCCAGGAGTGGTGGCACACACCTTTAATCCCAGCACTTGAGAAGCAGAGGCAGGAGAGGTTGAGGCCAGCCTGGTCTCCATAGTGAATCCAGGCCAACTGTGGCTACAAGGAGACTATGTCCCAAAAAGGACAAGAGAGTGCCTGGCTCTGGCCTCCATGTGGTGGTGAGCTTCCCTAAATCGGGCCGTTCCAAACCTCCTAATTGGAACCACATGAGGCCCCTCCCACTTCGCCAGGGTTAGACCTCTCTGCCCTACAGTAGGATAGAGGCTGAGACCTCAGCAGACCCCCTGAGAGCACCTGAATCTGGCCTCCCCTGGTGTAGGGGCTGAGAACTCAGTAGACTGCTTGGGAGTGCTTGGATCTGGCCTCCATGTGGTGGTGAGTTTCACCAAATTGCACCTTCCCCAACTGTATAATCAGAACCACGTGAGGCCCCTCCCACTTCACCAGGGCTAGACCCCTTTTCCCTACAGTAGAGTAGGGGCTGAGACTTAGCAGACCACCTGAGAGCACCTGGATCTGGCCTCTGCCTTGTGTTAAGCTTCCCCAAAAGGCCCATGTCCAACCCCTTAATTGGGATAACCTGAGGCCCCCTCACATCCCCAGGGCCAGACCTCTTTGCCCTACAGTAGGGACTGTGACCTTAGCAGACCACCTGAGAGCTCCTGGATCTGGCCTCCACATAGTGATGAGCCTCCCCAAATTGTGCCCTGCCCAAGCCCCAATAGTGATCTTGTGCAGCCCCTCCCACTTTGCTAGGGCTAGACTTCTCTGCCCTACCTACAGTAGGGGCTGAGACCTTACCAGACTGCCTGCAAGTGCTATAATCCTGCCTCCCCTTAGCGAACTTCCCAAATTGTGCTATGAATTCCCGCAAGTGGGAGTCCAAATGCTAGAAGAAAGCCAAAATGTACTTGACTGGAGTGTGACTTGGGATTTCTGTGGGAAATCCTAAGCAGTTGATCTGAAGTCATTAGTTCCCTCCAAAATAAAATCTTAGAGAATCTGAAATCTAGACGAACCAGCTTTACATACCCAATGAGAAGACAACCAAGGCACACCAATGATAGAAACAGAAGCAAACATCAACTCAACAAAATAAGGCTCGAATTTCATACCAGAATCACAAACAACAGAAGAAACCCATGTGCCAATATCAAAAATAATAAAATGGAAAACCAAAACAGCATGTTCCCACAAAACTCCACCAGTCGTGTAGAAGAGTTCTACAAGGAGAAGTCCCTAGAGATAACCCAGGACACAGAATTTAAAAGAACAATTATAAACATGATCAAGGAATTCAATGAATTTAAAGAACATGCAAAAAAAATTCAAAGAACTAAAAGGAGATAGGGATAAACTTCTGAATGAACCACAAAAAAGACAGAAACATTGAAGAAAACTCAGGCTGAAATGAAGAAGGAAGTGAAAAACTCAATAAGTTAATTTGAAACAACAGGAGAAAGCCCACCACTAAAATGAATGAAATGGAAAACAGAATATCAACACTGGAGGATAAAGTTGAAGAACTGGACCACTCAAGCAAAGATTATGAAAAACTTCAAAAAACACTGGAATGGAATATTCAAGAAATGTGGGACACCATGAAAAGACCAAATCTGCATATTATAGAGGAAAGAGAAGAATTTCAGGTTAATGGTATTGACCAGATCTTAAACAGGATTACAGAAGAGAATTTCCCAAAATTAAGGAACGACATCCCCATACAAAGACAAGAAGCACATAGAACACCAAATAGACGGGACCAGAAAAGAAACTCTCCACAGCATATCACAGTAAAAATACCAAACATACAGAACAAAGAGAGAATAATGAAAGCAGAAAGAGAAAAACAAGTCACATGTAAAAGAAAACCCATCAGAATTACAGCCGACTTGTCAATGCAAGCTATGAAAGCCAGAAAAGCCTAGACCAAGGTATTTCCAGTTCTAGGTGATCATAGATGCAAGCCCAGAATACTTTACCTGGCAAAAAATGTCTATTATAGTTGAAGGGGAAAGAAAAATCTTCCATGACAAGAATAGGCTGAATGAATACACATCCACAAAAGCAGCCCTTCAAAGAATACTTGAAGCAATACAAAAAATGTCAAAAAGAACAACTCTACCCCAGGGACAATGAAAGAAACTAAATGCAGGTGTAATTGTGGAAACATTTAGACAAAAAACACTAACAGTAATCAAAATGATGGCAACCAATGCATTGTTCAATAATAACTTTAAATACCAATGGACTGAACTTCCCAGTCAAAAAACATAGCCTAGTTGAATGGATTAAGAAACAAAACCTTTTTGTTGTCTGTAAGAAACCCACCTCACACACAGGTGAAAGGACAGAAAAGAATATTTGAAGTAAATGACACTAAGCAACAAGCAGGCATTGCAATTCTAATATCTGATAAAATAGACTTCAAATTAAAATAATCAGAAGACATAAAGAGGGTCACTGCATTCTGATCAAAGGAACAGTTAACCAAGAAGGTATTACAACATGCACATATATGCACCAAACTCTGGTGCATCCAAATTCAGAAAAACAACACTACAGGACTTTTAAGACACAGAATAACCTCAACTCAGTAACAGTATGGGACTTCAAAACCCCACTGTCTCCATTGGACAGGTCAACCAGATAAAGGATAAACAGACATCTGAATTAAATGACATTATACAGCAAACGGACCTAACAGACATCATCCGAATAGTCCACCCAAGCACCAAAGAATTCAGTTTCTATTCAGCAACCCATGGAACTTTCTCATAAGAAATGGAAGGATATCTAAAATCATGGGGACCAAAGTTAAACCAAGAAGAGATCAACAGTATAAACAGACCCATAACATTTAAGGAAATCAGAACAGTAATACAAAGCCTCCCAAATAATAAAAGCCCAGGCCCAGCTGAATTTACAGCAAGATTCTCTCAGAAATTTAAAGATTTCGAACCAATACTACTTAAATTATTCAAAGAGATAGAAACAGAGAGAAAACTCCCAAATTCCTTCTAATACTGAAACCAGGTAAAGACACAACCAAAAAAGAAAACTATAGACCCATATCCTTAATGAACATAGATGTAAAAACTCTCAACAAAATACTTGCATACAAAAAAAACTGCATACAAATGTACATCAAAAATAAAATGTTTTTTATTATTTTTATTTAATGTGTATGCATGTATTGCCTGCATGTAGGTAAGTGGACCAGTATCGTGCAATACCCTCAGAGGTCAAAAGAGGCTATTGGAGCCCCTAGGACTGGAGTTACAGACAGTTGTTAGCTGCCATGTGGGTGCTGGGATTCAAACCTGGGTCTTCTACAAGAACAACCAGTGTTCTTAACCACTGAGCAATCTCTCCAGCCCCATAAAATATTTTTTTAAAAATCAATAAAAAAAATAAGAACACACTATTGCATTAATTTTTTTTTGTTTTTGTTTTTTTCTATTTGAGACGGGCAGCCCCAGTCGGCCTGGAACTCCCTATGTAGACCAGGCTGGCCTCGATCTCACAGAAATCAGCTTATTTCTGCCTCTGGAGTGCTGGGATTAAAGGCATGAACCACCATGCCTGGCAGTTAAGCTTTTTTAGTAAAGGAAAGTTATGGAAAGAGTACAGGCAACACTAGAAAATTATATTTTGACAAGTTCTAAACTATATAAACATATCTTTGCTCAGCTTTTTACTTGAGTGCTAGGGGCTTAATTTAGATCCCTTGTGCAAGCACTATACTGCTTGAGTTATCTTCCCAGCCCCACCTAGGGCTTTTTAGAGTATAAGTCTGTTCATTCTAGCTGGAGGTGGTTTATAGGTGTGAAATGGGAACACTGGGCTTTTCCTTTCTTTTCTCCAAAAGGGCTGGGATTCAAGGGTTTGGTAGAGTCTTGTGAACTGTTAAAATACTCACTCCTGGATGTGGTAGATGGGATCTGGTATGTATAACCTGCAGAGGTAAGGAGAGAAAGAGCAAACATGGGATGGGATAAGGAAGTTAGGATGGATGTAGGCTCTACAATAGAATAGAGCACAGATGGTTAATGCTCACCATTGACACAGAGACTGTTTTGGTCCAGAGTGTATGTCCCCAATTGGGTGAAGCCATTGGTCAGACTGTACAGCTCCCAGTATACCTGTTCTCTGTCAATCCCAGAGCCAGTGGGGTCAGAACGGTGGGTACAGACGGCATCTACCCCTGTGGCTGCTCCATTCTTCTCAGGCCTGTGAAGGACAGATGAAGATGATGATAATCGGTAACTCCAAGATGCCTGGAGCAGGAGGGAAAGAGTCAGAGGAAATGAAATGGCTGGTACAGTGAGAAGCCAGTCTTAGATTCTCTGAGTATACTGACTTCCAGTAACAGCCTGTGGCCATGAGCAGACAAGAAGCGAAGGATGTTTACCGAATGCAGTTCAGTAATCTACATCCTTATGGTGTGAGGAGTGGAAAGCTCACATAAGACATACTTGGATTTGGAAGTTAAAGGAAAGAAAAAAGACATTTATGTCCGTGATAGCTAGCTTTAGCTGTCAACTAGGAACAGCCTAGAAGCACCTGAGAACAGTTTCAACAAGGGATTGTCTACATTGGATTAGCCTGTGGGCATGTCTGTGGACAAATGTCTTGACTAAGTTAATTGATGTGGGAAGACTCAGCCCATTGTGGGTGGCACCATACTCTAAGCAGGGGGTCCTGAACTGTACAAGGGTAGAGAAGTCAAGCCGAGTGTAAGCAAGAAGCATGCACTCATTTCTCTCTGCCCTTGACTGTGGATGTGATACAACCAGCTGTCTCAAGCTCCCGCTGTTGCGACTTCTCAACAATCAATTATGAGCTGTATCCTGAAATTATGAGTTAAAATAAACCCTTTCTCTCCTATGTTGCTTGTGTTCAAGGTATTTTATCACAGCAACAGAAATGAAACTAGAACCATGTTTTAAGATAACTCTTGGGGATAGAATTTAAAGCCCCCAAGGAAATGTCCTTTTATTCCACAATGGGGAAATGAAGGAAGGAATTCATAATGGATGAGCAGGAGAGGAGCAAAATCTGTTGAGTCTGCAGAATCTCTGGGCATCTGAAGAAGAGCTGGTAAGATTAGGGGACACTGGTGTTGGATCCAGTGCTTCCAGAACTCCACCTGTTCAGTGTGCATTCCACCTGTTCAGTGTGCGTGCAGGTGGAAGGAAGGCAAGAAGTTGGCCATGCTGCTGGGTTGGTAGTACTTTGAGCAGCCCTGGCTTGTGTTCTTAGGACTCACCTGAGCATGTTCAGTTTGCAGTCAGAATAGAGCAGGCCAACACTGGTTTTATTGAACAAAGACCTGAACTGTAGAGAAAGGGGAGAAGGGTATGAATTAGAGGGTTGAGAAGAGTGTTGACTGTGAGATGTACTGGGCTATGAGGAAGGCTAGAATCTGTAGGACAAGGTTGAGATGGGTATGCCCTTCTTCCAGGGTATGTCATAAGCTTGTGGGCATGACTTACATCTGGTGGGAAAGTGCATACAATGAACAGAGCTCTCACCAGTCCCTGTAGGGCTCTCTCAGTGGCACTGAACTTCTGGGATTCAGGGTGATGCATGTTGTCCTCATACTCCAGGTTAGTGATGGTGAAGTTGATGGTGAAACATAGTAGAGGAGCGACTGGCACTGCAGTGGGAGTGGGAGAAACACACCCTGAGTTTCTTGGAGGTCTGTGAACCTGAGCATTGGACATGCCATATGTATATCTTCCATCCCTAAAGAGGGCTTCTTCTAGGATACACAGCTTCCACAGGGAGGAGACCAGAGATCAGCATCACCTGTGATGTTCCAAGCATGAATGGGATTGCTCTATGGAGGCACTGAATATGAAGGATTGCTCTTTCGAGACACCATGGAGTTGAAAGCAAATATAACAGGCTTTCTGATTGCATGAAATCCCAACACGTTTATTTTCTGAGTTTTTCATTAATCCAAACTTTTTCTCAGGAACACATGTATTTACTGATCTTTTTAAAAGATTGATAGTTTGGGGCCAGCAAGATAGCTCAGTGTGTGGAAGCTCTTGCTGCCAATCCTCACAACTTAGTTTTGATTCTGGGACCCACGTGGAGGAAGAAGAGAACCAACTCCAGCAAGTTGTCCTCTGACCTGACATGTATGCCATGGCACATACATTTCCCACTCCCATATACTTACTAATAATAAGTGAATAAATATATTCAATTAAAAGTGTTTTGTTTTGCAAATGCAAAAAAAATTTAAATATATTTTTGGTCAACACTAGAGATTGAACTCAGGGCCTTGTGTCTGCTAGGCAAATGCTCTATCACTGAGTTAAAATTTGGGCCTTTGGTATTTGAGACATGACCTCACTTTGTAGTTCAGACTAGTCTTAAACTTGTGGTCCTCCTGCCTCAGTTTCCAAGTGCTAGGATTTATAGACACATCTAGTTAGCTGCCAACATGATTAAAAAACAAAAAATAAAAAGTTGTGTGTGTGTGTGTGTCAGTGGGCCTTGATACCCAAGACAGAGTATATGGGTTCCATGGGGGGGCTGTGGAAGGGTGCTGGTGGGGACGGGACCATAAAGATGATTCAGATTGTTTGAGATAGTCTGTATGAAATACAACAAAATTTAATAAAAACAAGTTTTTGTTTTTAAAAAAAAGTATTTTGTATTGTTTTGAATGGAGGGTGGACTGGGGAGATGGCTCAGTGACTAAAGTGCCTTTAAACAGGGCCTGAGTTTGATCCTATGCAAAAAAAAAAAAATAACACAATAACAATGACAATAACAACAGAAAACCAGGTGTGGTGGTGTACGCAGTAATCCCAGCACTAGGAAGTTGGAGATGGGCAGATTTCTGGGTCTAGCTGGTCAGCCAGCCTGGCCTACTTGGCAAGTTCCAGGCTAGTGAGAGACTGTCTCGAAAAGCAGAAAGTGGACAGTGCTTGAGGAATGACAGTCAAGGCTGATCCCTAGCATCTACATTCATTACATTCATGTGCACATACATACAAGCTCTCTCTCTCTCTCTTTCTCCACCCCCCCACACATAAGAAAAATTGTTTGAAGAAATAAAAATGTTGCACACATTCTTTCCTTGAATTGGGGTCACTGATTTGGTGGAGGATGGTATTAGGAAGCTAATTTCATAGAGGAAAAATCTGAGCCAAAGAAAAGTTACATACTTCTGACCTGAGTTCAAATCTCTGGCACCCATGTAAAAGGTTGGGTGCAGTGGTGCATATTTGTAATCTCAGCACTGGGAAGGCAAACACAGGAGGATCCTTGGAGCTGACTGGCATCAGGCTACACAGTCTCTAAATGACACATCCTGAGTTAGCCAAGCCTTTGTAGCTCAGGAGTTTGCTCTCCTAACCCTTTTCCCAAGGTCCATGGATGGATCCAGATGATAGTGAAACCACATATCCTTGAGTGATCAGTGGTCAGTATACTCTCTAGGCTTTAATCACTGGGTGATTGTCAGACTCCAGACCAGAGTATTGTTCAGGACACACCCAGCTGCAGCAGCTTCTTTCTTACAGCCATTGTAAAGGAAAAGACTAGTTTCCTATCCCAGAACTGTGTGTCTCAAACTAACAGACTTACCGGGTCCTGCAATTCTAGGAGAATGGCAGGAATCATTCTCAATTCCTCAAGGAAGTTCACAGATTTCAGGTTGCCAGACTCAAAGACCTCAGAAGGTTGCTGGTGGTGACTCATTTCCCCCACCCATATAATTGACTTTTTTTTATTGCTGTGATAAAAACGATGACCAAAAGCTACTTGGAAAAGAGTGAGTCAGTTTCATCTTACAGATTACAGTCCATCATCAAGGGAAGTCAAAGCAGGAGCTTGAAACAAAGGCATGGGTGAGGAACACTTCTCACTTACCCAGACTCATACTCAGCTATCTTTCTTATACAGCTCAGGACCACCTGCCTAGGTATAGCACCATACACAGTTGACTGGGCTATATCTTTTAGCAGTCAAGAAAATGACCCACAGATATGCTCATAATCCAGTACCATATTGGTCACCATCAGGAGTCAATTCTTCAGCTGAAACTTTCTCTTCTCAGGTGTGTCAAAGCTAACAACAAAAATTAGCCATCACAAATAGGTACACTTTAACGCTATGCCCTCATCCTCCTCACTTCCTCCACCTCCTCAGAGTCACACATTCCTTTTTGATAATGCAAGATCCCCTTTCCCTCTTTCCATCAACTACTGCCCATTTTGAAATCAGAGGCAGCATGACTACATGGAATTTCCCCTTTCCTTTGAAACCTGTAAGAACCTCCACCATTCTGACTGTCTAGTGCATTGGGGTCTGAACCCTCCTGAGAGCCCTCACCATGGTACCTGTATATCTATGATGTTGGAGTCTGAACTCTCCTGAGAGCCCTCACTGTGTAGTCTTTCCATGGCATTAATAACTCTTTTAATTCTACTTCAGTGCCCCTCCCCAAACTTCAAACTGAGACCTTTCACTGATGTAAAACAAGAGACCACAATAAGACAGAGCTGGTGCCCACTTATCCAGGACCCTCACCCGAGCCAGTACAGGGTATAGATATCTGCCCTGGGCCTTTCAAAAGCTGAGTTTGGGATGCTGAGTCTTGGCTCAAACAGAACCAGTCCACATGGAGAGCATGACCTTTTGGATGGCATTTCCCAAGTTTACACATAGCCTATGTTGTTCTCATTTTTTTCCTGGATTGAAAACTAACTAAACAGCTGGGGTGATGGCTCAATCAGTAGAGGGCTTGTCTCACAAGCATGAGAACCTGAGTTTGGATCCCCAGCACCCATGCACAAAGCCATGCATTTAATCCTAGCACCGGGGGAGGCAGAGACAGGAGGACACTTAGGGCTTGGTGTCCAGCCAGTCTAGCAAAATCGGTAAGCTCCACTGTCTTATGTGGTCTCTTGATATACAGCTGTGAAAGGTCTCAAGTTTAGTATTTAAGGGAGACACTGATGTGGATTGTCCTTTGGGCAAGAGCTTTATTATAAGAGTTATGGAAAGATATAACTCTTTGTGAAAGTTCTGAAGAGAGTTTAGATCGCAACACCATAGACAAAGTGGTGGGGGCTTTGAGGAGAGATTGGGCCCCAGTGCAATAGACAGACTGGCAGATCTCTCTGTGAGAGAGCTTGTCTCATAAAATAAGCTGGAGAGAAATTAAGAAAGGCACAAGGCAGTGACCTCTTGCTTCCACATGCATATTCATACATGTATAAATATCTGCACATACCACACCCACATGTCCACATGAAAAAAGAAAGCTAAGCATGTGTGAGAGGAAACCCCTCCATGTACCTGTAAGTCTAAGGTCACCTGACTGTATTCCTAGAACAACCCCATCTTTCTTCTGTCACCCCCACTGGAAGCACACCAAAGCCTCAAGCTCATTCTATTTTGTGTATGGTGTATCATCAGGGCATTTTACACACTAAGTGCTTAAGAAACACTTGTTGAATGAGTGATTGGAACATGAAGGCTTTCCAGGTGACATGTCTCATTGTCAGGGGACATGAGGGGTTTGTAGGAATCTATCACTCCTCTAGTTCACCAGTGCTGGAATTACAAGCACATACTATCACATCCATCTTTTTAAGTAGTTTCTGTGGATTGAAGTCAGGTCCTTGTGCTTGTGCAGCAAACATTTTACCAACTGTGCCATCTTACTACTACTGAAGGAAGGTATCACTAAGCAGAAGCTCATACCCATGGAGCCTGGGACAAGAGTTTCATTTGTTGCAGGGATGCTGGTGGAAGTCATAGTAACTGAAATAAAAATACAATGAACCAAGGATGAAAGGAGAAAATGATTTCTTAGCTGAGGATTGCCCATCATAAACTCTTAAGGTCATTTTCACTGTCTGAAGTCTGTTTCGGGAATATCTCTTCTGAGACAGGAGGAAGGAACTAAAACTCTTTTGGGATGTGGAGTAGGGGTTAGCAGAATGGAATCTAAATTACTTACTGCTAGTGGTGGAAGCCAGAAACCAATGGTTATAACCTGCAGAAAGAATAAGAAGAAAAGTCAATATTCAAAGGATAGGTAACAGGAAAAAGATGTGAGAGACTCAAGTCTTTGAGATTCCTCTGTGTGTGTGTGTGTGTGTGTGTGTGTGTGTGTGTATGTGTGTGTGTATGTGTGCGTATGTGTATTATTAGGGATGGAACCTAAGGACTTGTACAAGGTAGGCAAGTGTTCTACCACTGAGCTTGATCCTTTCAAATAATAGACTCACTCTATAGCCCAGGTAGACCTTTAACTCATAATCTTCCTGCTTTAAATTCCTCCTAAATATCTGAGAATACAGGTATATACCACCAAGCCCAAATAGCTAGGATTACAGGTGTTTGCCCCCTGCCTACCTTGGATTTATTTACTTATATTTATTTATTTGTTTATTCATTTATTTAATTTTTATGTTTATGGGTGTTTTCTTTGCTTGTATATAAGTGCACCCATGTGTGCAATGACCATAGAGGCCAGAAGATGTCATCAGATCCCCTGAAACTGGAGTTATGGACAGTTGTTTGCCACCATGTGGATGATAGGAAATGAACCTGGTTCCTATCCAAAGGCAGCCAGTGCTCTTAACCACTGGTCCTTCTTTCCAGCCCTGGATTTATTTTTTAAGTCATATTTACATAATGCTTTCATAATACAGACCCTGAGGGCTGGGAATATAACTCATAGGTCAGCCACACAGTACTTGTCTAGCACATATGAGGCCCTGGGTTTGATTTGGGTTTGTTTGTTATTTTGAGACTGGGTCTCGCTATACACTGACCGGCCTGGGACTCAGTACGTAGACTATTCTGGCTTCAAACTCACAGAGATCCTCACAGAGATCCAATTGTTTCTATCTCTTGAGTGCTGGGATTAAAGATGTGCTACCATGTCTGACTAGGCCCTGGGTTTGAACCTTAACAAAATACACACAGACACACAGATACAGACACAAACAGAGAGATACACACATGCAAGTGTGTGCAGACCCTTGAAGACAAACCCCAGATAATAAAATCAGAGCATGAAGAAGCAATTCTGTATCTACCATCTGTCCACTTCTGTGCGAATTTGGTCTCGCCTGTATTTCCAAGAAAGGTGTGTGTGTGTGTGTGTGTGTGTGTGTGTGTGTGATCAGCCACAGATTCTGCAGTGAGCTCCCTGGGGAATGCACACTGCAGCTGCTGATCCACTGACCATTAACATAAAGACTGTCCCTGTCCAGGGTGATGAAGTCCAACTGGATGATGCCATTGGTCTCATAGCTCAACTCCCAGTACAGCTGCTCTCGGTCCAGTGCAGTGCTCGTGTGCTCAGATCGATAGGTGCAGATCATATCCACTCCAGTGGCTGATCTGTCCTTCTCAGGCCTGAGGGCAGAGGCAGGTGGGGGGTGGAGACACAGGTATAGCAACATACTCAAATTGGATGATGAGACAGCTTGCAAGAAAGCTGGGGACTGGATAGATGGCTCAGTGGCTAACATCACTTACTACTGCTCTTGCAGAGGATCAGAGTTTGCTTCCCAGCACCCACTTTGGACACCTAATAGCCCCTGTAACTCCAGACGGCAATATTTTGCTTTCTTCTGGCCTCCACTGGTACCCACATTATATAAGAGCAGCTGGGAAAATGACTGTCCTGATAAAAAATTTCAAACGTGAAGACCTGAGCTCAATTCCCACAACCCACATAAAAAAGCTGGGTGTGGTGGTACTTATAATCTCAGTACTAGGGAGGTAGAGACAGGTGGATCCATCCCTAGGACTCACTGCTCCTGCAGCTCTTTCCCTGTGTCAGAGTTAAGAAGTAGTCCTGTCACCTGTAACAGACTTCTGTCTTCCAAGTCTCAAAGATCATTGTGGATGAGGGGGTAGAAAGATTATAAGAGCCAGAGGTGGATGACTGTGAAGAAACTGAGGTTTCCAGTCAGTTGATCAATTTCCCATATGAACTCACAGCAATGGTGACAGCACGCACGAGTCCCATGTAAACTCAAGTCAGACAAAATCCCATCATAGATGTGAAGAAGTGGTCAAGGAACCCCAACCATACCTGAGGAAGCATTGGCAATGAATGGTTGCTGAAAGGGGGAGGAGCAGTGAATCAGTCCCATTTAAGGGTGAGACTCGGGGTAAATTGACCAGGCTCCAGTGGATAGACCCACACTGAAAATATTAGGGGACACAAATTTGACACTACAGGTCGTAATATGTGTGTATGTACATGAAATTGGGTGAGGAGTAGTAAGTGGGGGGCTGATAGAAGGGATCTAAATATGATCAAAATATACTTTATGAAATTTGCAAAAATTCAATTTAAAAATACTATAAAATTTGTTTTAAAAGAAAAGAAGCAGTCCTGTGCTATGTTCTAATAGTTCTTAATTTGTGATACATGGTTGCTCCATGCTTTTCCTGCCAAGCCCTTGAAAGAATGGAAAAGCCAGATTGTTTCCTTTGTTTGTAGGATTTCTCTGAAGATTCCTGTTCTGGACCTTCTTCTAACTCCACATCCTACTCCTGTCATCT